GGTAGGAGTAGGAGTAGGAGTAGTAGTAGTAGGAGTAGTAGTAATAGGAGCAGTAGTAGTAGTAGTAGTAGTAGTAGTAGTAGTAGTAGTAGTAGTAGTAGTAGTAGTAGTAGTAGTAGTAGTAGTAGTAGTAGTAGTAGTAGTAGTAGTAGTAGTAGTAGTAGTAGTAGTAGTAGTAGTTAGTAGTTAGTAGTTAGTAGTTAGTAGTAGTAGTAGTAGTAGTAGTAGTAGTAGTAGTAGTAGTAGTAGTAGTAGTAGTAGTAGTAGTGGTAGTAGTAATAGTAGTATTAGTAGTAGTAGTAGTAGTAGTAGTAGTAGTAGTAGTAGTAGTAGTAGTAGTAGTAGTAGTAGTAGTAGTAAGGGGAAGAAGGGGGGTGAGGACAGAGCGGGCTCTCTAAACCACTCACGCCCAAAGGGCTGGTGGGATCAAGAGACAGATTGCCAAGTAATGCGCGGAGTGGGCGTCAGCCGAACGGACTGTGACATCATTTTGACTTGAGCCAAAGCGTCAACGACAGATCTCCAGTCCTGATGCTGCTAAGCTGCTGCTGCTGCTCGTGCTGCTGTACACTATGCTACACAAGCCCCTCTGCTGCAGATGACCCTGCAGCTCACTACAACATCATACTACCATGCAGGACCCTAATGTGCCAGCCAGGTTTAGACTACATTACCCCTGACACCCCAGAAACCGCCGCACCTCCTCTCGACTCGCGCATGTTCAATCGCAAGTCGATTCGGCATCTGTCAGGCTGTAGTCCTCGCGTGCTCAAGGCGCACGCATTCCGAAACGCACCGATGCTGCCCGATCTGCTTTGCAGGCCTGGCCAGGACTTAAACGCCCCCAAGAAGAGCCATCGGCGCGAATCCACGTTCAAAACTGCCTCACTCGCTTGACCCGAGGCCAGTGCTGAGGCCTCACCAGGCGCACCTGGTCGATCTCCAACAACTTCTGAACGCAGTGGCCCTTCAGCTTCGGGATCGCCTTCACGCCTCTGGTGAGCAGCTCCTCCTGCAGGTCCTTCAGCAGCCACTCCCAGTACGGAATGATCTCGAGCTCCTCCGTCTGCGTGGACTCCACACAGCGCCGTTCGCCAGTGGCGCTCCTCGGCGAGCAGCACCTTCCCACGGCATAGCCACACGCGAGCCCCAGGACCAACAAGAGCACGCCCATGCCGATGAGTGCTACCAGCACCCAGCTCTCGAAGACACTCCCGCTGGTCCGATCCATCGCCCCGTCGTACTTGACCAAGTCGACGCTGCAATCGTTTGCTGCAGTCGCCTTCTCCAACGCCGCTGCCACGACCCAGCAGCCCCAGCCCCCAGGAGGCCGCAACGACGTAGTCTTCATCAACTTGGTCACCCTCTGTATGTCGACCATCTTGGTGCCCAGGTCCGCCTCGTTGGACTCCCCAGGCTTCACGCGCATCTCGATCGTGCCGTCTGCGCACAACTCTTGTAGCCACAACAGGCGCGCGTCTAGATGACGCACTCGACCCACGCCACGTCTTGTGGCCATCGACCGTCCAGCCGACGAGTCCGCCTCGCAGATCACCTTCTTGACCCAGCCGTACTCGGCGAGCGCGCTCCTGACCTCCAACGCATGTGCAGCTCCTTTCGTTATCGATATGTACTCGCTCTCCGCCGTCGATAAGGCCACTATCTGTTGCGTCGAGGAATAGGCTTCGAGTAGATGGCTTCCGAAGTATACCCAGCCAGCAGAGGTAGAACGCAATGCCTCCAGCTCGCCTGCCCAGTTCGCGTCCGTGACCACTCTCACGTCCTCTGGCATCTTCTGGTAGTTGAACTCCCACACGAGCAACGGCACCTCCGAATAGTACTTGCACAACCGCTTGAGGGCACACCAGGCCGATCTCGTTGGTGTCGACATGTAGCGAGCGACTTCCTTCGTCGCGTACTGCGCCTCGGGACGGTCTTGACCGACGTAGAGCGCCGTCCCCACGAGCGCTCGGTATAGCGCTGTTCCTTCTTCGTCAAGGGGGTCTGCAGCATCACGAGTCTTGCCCACCGTCTTGGAGCCCGGCGCGACCGTCACGACCCACTTCTCCTGGTCCAAACGCGTCTGCCCGTCGAAACCGAAAGCCTTGGCCATCGCCACGGTGTGAGTCGGGTCATGCGCCCATGTAAAACCCTTCGAACTCCATGAAAGCGTCCTGTGCAGGAACGCCGCACTGGACTTGCAGTTGGGCCCCACTCGCTCGCAGATCTTCACCTTGAACACTTCCCTCATCAGCTGCTCGAGGTCGTCAGCGCTGTCGTTCGGCAGGGCGTAGATGAAGTCGTCGCCCCAGTGAACCCCCAGCGCCTCTAGCTCGCGACTCCAGTACAAGCACGGGACCACCGCGTTCCTGTCGAAGCCGTGCTCGCTCAGGTTGTCCGCCACGTACGTCTGGAACACCTGGCTCGCGTCCCTCGTCCCATATAGGCTCCGAAGCAGCCTCCACACCTTGCCCTTCTTGCGCAGGTCCTTCGGCGGTACCACGTACAGGACCTTCCGCACCAGGCCGTGGAAGAACGCCACAGAGATGTCGAACAGCAGCAGGATCATCTTGGCCCCCGCGCTGCTCCTTCTGGGACTGTAGCTCGCCGCCCACGCCAGTATCAGTCTCACGAACTTCAACGGCGGCGTCGCAGCGAAGCAGTCCGTCCTAACCTCGCCCGTGTTGATCTCGGTCGCGACCAGCCTGCTCCTGACCTCGGCGCTGTTCGGGTCCTTCCGCGTCTCCACCCACTTCGACCAGATCTTCTTCCCTGGCTTGCTGATCATCTCGGACTCGTCCACCTCGACCTTCACCTCGAACTCCGCCAGGTCGCGCAGCTCCTTGGACCTCCCTTTGCGCACCTCTTCGCTGTCTAGCTGCTCGCCAGTCCTCGAGTCGTACGCCACGATACCTTCCGCCGACGCGGGGTCCTCGTAGTTCACCTCGCCGATCATGTCGCTCTGGCTGTCGTCGGAGATGGTCTCGAAGTTGCTGTTGTCCATCGCCGCGAGCCGCCACTCGTCCTCCTCTGGGATGAGCAACGCCACCACGTCTACGCCATCGATCACGTGCAGGCCCCCGATCATCACGTCGTCGGTGCTGGACCTCGCCTCGCTCTCGCTGACGACGACCGTGCCTGCGCCTCCCACGGCTGGGATCGCCACAGGGGGTTGCGACCTCACCTTCGCCGTCGGGCGCTCGGGGGCCGCCTGCGGAAAGGCCTCCGCCGCGGACCGACCCCTCCGTGGCGAAGCGTCCGCTCTGTCGACCTCCATGCTCTCGGCCGCGGCCCCTCCGCCGCCGTCGCCCCCAGCCGGTGTCCTGGGAGCGTCGCCGCTCGCTGCCGACGATGGTTCCGCAGCGCCTGCGGGCGGCCCTGGGTCTGGTCTCGCCGCCAGCGGCGTGCCGACTGCGATGCCTCTCGGCCCCGCCGCCGCGTCTGCCACCAATTTCTCCAGCCGCGCTCGACACACCTCAGTATGTGGCCCCAGCCCCGCGCAGCCCGAGCACCCAGGCGTAGCCCCGTACTTCTGCACGATCGCCCTCGTCAGGTAGAGCCTCCTGTGCCCTGATGGCCCCTGGTCCTGCTGCGACACGATCGGTGCCTTCAGATCCGATGCCGTGCCGTTCCACGGCAGACCCTTCACCTTCGCCAGCTCCTCCTTTACGTACCGCTCGTCGACTGGCAGTCGATGTACCGATCTCGCTTTCTTCACGCCGTCCACGGTCAGAACGAGGTGTTCGTCCGTCAGCGGTGCCTTGCCGACCCACACCCCGTGCGCCCACTTCTGGTCCAGGTTGCCGCTGGGCACCGCCGTGTACTTGTACATCACGCGCTCGCCGAAGGGAAGCACCTCCCCGCCGTAGGCCTTGCCGAAGATCCGCACGTAGGGGGTACGGCCGTCGCTCTTCACCTGGAACCTCGTCAAGCTCCATGCCGCGTGCCTGACCCCCCAGGCGATCAGGATGCTGTCGGTCGACACCTTCTCGCCCATGTGCTCCTCCAAGTTGATCCAGTTCGCTCTCAGGACGCCGTTAATGACCCTGTTCGCGCCCTCTATCTTGCCCTGGCTCTGGTGGCTGCCTCTCGGTCCATGCCTGACCAGAGTCCGCTTCACCCTCTTGCTCTGCACCGCCTTCAGCAACTGTACCAGCACTGGCTCCTGGTCCGAGTGAAGCAGTACTGCGTTGTGGCCCAGCGCGTCCACGAACGCCAGGATCGTCTCCACCAGGTACTCGCTGAAGGCCTTGCTGGGGCACAGAGTCGCCGACAAGCTCTCCGACCCGACGTCCACTCCATTGAGGGACGGAATGCCAGGGCTTGCATCCGATTCTCGTCCGATCTCCGCGAAGTCGAACTCGATGCGTGGGATCGCTGCCTCCTCTGCGCTCAGGCCCGTCGGGTCCTCGCTTCGTCGATGAGGTTTGTCCGCCGCCCTCGCCGCCACGCAGTGGCTGCACCAGCTCCTGTAGGGTACGTGCCCCGCGGACTCGTGTTGAGCCCGTTCCTCTGCCGTCGGCGTGGCAGGTCCTGTCGGCACTTTGATGCGAACTGCTGGATCTCCATCTTCTGCAAGCGTGGCCTCGGCTGCTGGTCCAGCCGCCCCGAACGCCGCGTGTTCTCTGGCCAGCGCTCTCTGCTCGATCTCCGCCTGCGTCAAAGGGTTGAGCTCCAGCACGTCCGAGCCTCCGATCTTCGAAGGCCGAGCGATCGCGTAGAACAAGTTGCCCTTCCTGATCAGCTCCAACTCCTTGCCGTCTTTGACGATCCACGACTTGCCCTTCGTGAAGTAGGCGTCGCACCCCGACTCGACCATGCGCCCAGCGACCAGATCGGCCTCTTCACGTCTAGCACCCTGTAGTCCGTCGTGATCTTACCGAACTCCGTCTCATATGAAACCCGACGTCGCCCGTGCTGCGCAATCGGCTCGCCAGTCGCCGTTACCATGCGCCTCGGACGTGCTTCCTCTCGCAGGCCGTTCTCCGACACGTGATCTCGAGGACATACGTTTGCCGAGGCGCCCGAGTCGATCATGATGAGTTCGCACAGCTCGTCGCCCTCGAACTCCTCGTCGACCATGAACACCCAGCCGTCGTCCTGCTGCACCGTGTTGACCGCCGCGGCCGTCCCCGAGCCTCCAGCGTGTCCCGCCTTCTTCTTCTCCTCGAGCCACGTGGTGAACTTCGGGCAGTCCTTGCGCTCGTGGCCCTTCTCTTTGCAGAAGAAACACTTCCTCTCCTTCTTGCTGGCCTCGACTTTGTTCTTGTCTTTGCCATCTCCCTTGCCTTTGCCTCTGCCGCCGTCCTTACCCTTGCCATCTCCTTTGCCTTTGCCTCTGCCGCCATCCTTACCCTTGCCTTTGCCGCCATCCTTGCCCTTGCCCTTCGAGGTAAGCGCGTCCACCTCCATGGGGGCCGAGTCGCCATCGACACCCCACTGCCTCGCCGCTTGGTGCACCGCCTTCCACTCGTCCTTCAGCGACGTGTAGTCCTGCAATCTCGTCGCGTTGAGGCCGACGTGCCTCCTCCATTCAGGGTCCTCAGGGTTGTTCGAGATCACCGCCGCTTTGATGGTCTCCTGGATGATGTCGCCAGACTGCGCCTCGTACTGCCTGACGAGCCTCTCGAACTCCTCGATGGCTAGCCCGCGGTCACCTGTGAACTGGTACTGGAGGATCTGCATCAGCATCGCCCTGAAGCGACCCTTGTGAGCCGGCTCGAACTCCTCCAAGAACCTCCGCCAGATCTCGTAGCCGTTGCTGGGATCTGGCAGCTTCGTGACCATCTGCAACGCCATGTCCTTCGTGTGCATGGTGAGGATGAACGCCAGCTGCCTGGCTCTCCTCTGGGCTTCGGCGGCCATGTCGTTCATCGTGAGCTCTCTCGACGGGTTCGCGTCCACGTCGAGCACCTCCGCGTGCAGCGTCTCGTCTATCGCCGACAGGTACTGGCGCATCTTGAACGACCAGTTCTTCCACTCCTTGGCGTCGCCTGTGAAGACCTCGGGCTTGTTGCCCACTCGCAGGTCCACCAACGAGATCGGTGCGCCCGCTCGCGCTTCTCCTGCTGGCTGCTGAGCTGCTGCGCCGTTGCCTGCGGCGCGCACCGCCGCCAGCTCGTTCTGCGCCGCCGTGAGCTGCCCCTGCTGCGTCTCGATCACCGTGCGCTGCTGCCGCTGTTGCTCTTCGAGCTGAGCCAGCCTCTGCGTGAGCGCCTCCATCGCTCTCTATCGTGTCCACGATCTCTATCGTGTTCACCCCGCTCTCTATCGTGTCAACCACGGCTCCGCTACCATGCGCGGAGTGGGCGTCAGCCGAACGGACTGTGACATCATTTTGACTTGAGCCAAAGCGTCAACGACAGATCTCCAGTCCTGATGCTGCTAAGCTGCTGCTGCTGCTCGTGCTGCTGTACACTATGCTACACAAGCCCCTCTGCTGCAGATGACCCTGCAGCTCACTACAACATCATACTACCATGCAGGACCCTAATGTGCCAGCCAGGTTTAGACTACATTACCCCTGACACCCCAGAAACCGCCGCAAGTAAGATGTAATTTGTTCTGTTCGATTATACGCGCTGCCACGTGGGATGCATCGATATGCATCTGACAAGGTCCAGCTGTATGCTTTGGGCGATCTGCGTTGCCGACGTGTTTGCCGGTATGGACATTTGTGCTTTGTATTGAAAACGTTTCGATGGCATATGTGCTCGCCGTGCTCCTCCGCCCCCTTCGTCGTCGCCGCCGCCGCCGTCGTCGTCGACGAGCCGGCGCTGGGGGGAGCGCGCTCGCGCTCCGACCTCGGCGGGGCTCAGGGGACAGGGAGAGTAGTATCCATATTGAGTACTGGTAGAGGGGGCCCCCCTCGGAACGGCCGTTTACAGTCGAATTGTCAAAAACACATGGAAACCCACCTCCGGGAAATTTTGTGTGTAAACAAACATGGCGCGGGGGGGTGCCGAACATCTTCCGCGCGCCATCAGGGGAATAGGGAGAGTAGTATTCATATTGAGTACTGGTGGAGGAGGAAGAGGAGGAGGAGGGGGAATGGTTGTGTTTTTCGTTTTTCCCGCGGGGTCCAAGAGCCTCCGCGGTCTCCCTGGGGTCAGGATTCTGGGCGATTCTGGTTTCCTGGGACGAGTGCCGGCGACCCCGCCTGGCAGTTTGGAGGAGGAGGAGGAGGCCTGTATCGCCGTTCGGGCTCAAGGATTACTAGCGCACTCGGCAAACTCCCGAGCGCAAGCTACCCGGCGGCCGGCTGCCCCGCGCCGCAAGCATGCCCAAGAAGGGGAAGAAGGGGAATGGCCAGGAAGAGGTGACCAAGGAACAGCTGGACGCGGCCAAGAAGAGGGTGGAGCTCACACCATCGAACATCCGGGCAACGAGGCGCACCCTGGACAACCTGAAGCAGCCCCACACGGGGGAGAACCAGAGACTTGTCTTGGCCGTGAAGGACATCAGTGCGGGTTTTCTGCGGCGTGGCCTGAAGGAACTCCGGGTGACCCCAGAGCAGTTTGCAATGTGGAAAACGTATTCTTCCGTGGAGATGAGCCGGACGTCGTCGGCCTGGTGCGTGCCGAAAGCCAACGTGCCAGACATTCCGGCAGAGTATTCCCAGTACGTAATCGACACCTCGGGGTGGGCAGAACAGCCGCCAGGTTTCGACCCTGAGAACGAAGTGCTGTACGACAAGCGGGCAATGGTGAACCTCCTGGGGCCCAACGTGGACGAAGTGGCTTTCAAACGGGCTCGCGGGGCGAGTGGGGGGCCAGGCAGTGGCGCGTTGGCTCTGCGCGACGAGGCCGCCTCCTCGAAGCCAACGCCGGAGGCTTCAACCGCTGGAGCGACTCCAGTTGACGCAGCGGCTGCGGAGGGCAAGAAAGGGGCGGCTGCGGGGCGAAGGAAGCTGAGGTTTCTGAAAAGCTCCGAGAGCAATCCGGAGGACATCGAGAAGCAATTAGAGATCACGGCGGAGAACGTGCAGACCAGCTTGAACAAGGAGATCTACGTGCATGGCAATCCCGACAAGCCGACGGTGGTGACGTGGCTCAAGAGTTTCTGCTCCCTGGCGACGAAGCACTTGAAAAAGTCGGAGGGCGACGATGCAAAGGCAGACGTGCGCGGCTTCATCAGGTGGTTCTCGGAGGAGCTCTTGCAGCATGCCACCGCTTTGGAGCGCATGGCGGCCATCTTGGAACCCCTCCAGGAGTTCGGGGCAAAGCAGACGGACATCTTCGCGAAGGCCAGCATGTGGAAGGTCGTGGAGGCGATGGCCGCGCAGAGCCCCCAGTCCACCAACGCGTTGCCGAAGGAGGATTTGAAGCCGTCCGAGCTCAGCGTGCTCCACGAATCGCCGCTCCACATCGCGTTCCAGACGTCGCGCGAGGCTTGGCAGTTGAAGGTATTGCGCGAGGACCGCAAGTCAGGGAACGGCGCTCGCTTGGAGAGGCTGGAGGCATTGATGGAAGGGGCGGAGAAGACGGCGGAAATGTCTTTGATGAGCACCATGTGGGGGGCCGCCTCGGACGCGACGAAGGTGAGGTACTTGTGCGCCGAGGGCGGGCGCGTGGACATGCACCGCGAGTGGGGGCCCGCGTCGCCGCTGCTGAAAGCAGACCAGCTGTATTCGAAGGAGACTGTGTACAAGGGGATGCCGTGCGACAAGTTCGCGGGCCTCCTGGGCGCCCGCGCTGCCATCGCGGAGTCCGCCCCGAGGATCGCCAATGCCATCGCGCGCTCCCTGTTCCATGTGCGCGACGAGATCCCGCAGGAGCTCTCCGCGCTGTTCGGGGAGGTGTGCGCGGCGAAGCTGGGCGCGACCGGCGGGCCCGGCTGCGGCGGCGACATTGGCGGCGTCGTCGGAGCCCTGGGCGAAGAGCAGGTTGGCGGGGGAATCCGAGCGGCGCGGAGGGTTCCCCTGCGCCCCCCTGCGCCCCCCTACGCCCCCCTACGCCCCCCGCCCGCGGCGTGGGCGGGGGCGTAGGGGGGCGTGGGGGGGCGTGGGGGGGCGGTGCGGGAGGCCTCCGCGGCCGCCCGCGCCCTCCTGTGCACTCCGTTGCCGCCGCGATTCTCCGGTCGCCCGAGGTTGCAGCGGCGGCGAAGGCGTGCGTCGACGGCCACCGAGCCCCCGTGCACGACGCGGTGGCGACTGAGGTCCAGAAGAGGAATGCGGCCCCGAAGCCAGCGGAGACCGCGCAGCCCGCGGCTGTCGAGAAGCCCGAGGCGGCCGACCCGGCCCGCGCAGCCCGCGCAGCCCGCGGCTGTCGAGAAGCCCGAGGCTGTCCAGGAGCCCGCGCAGCCCGCGGCGCAGGCCGCGCCGCCCGCGCAGCCCGAGGCGGCCGACCCGGCCGCGGCGGTGACCGGGCAGGACGGGCAGTCCGCGGATGCCGAGATGGCCGAGCCGCCCGCGAAGAGCGAGCCGGCCGCGGCGGCGCAGGTGCCTGGCGCGACGGCGCCAGGGCAGCCCGGGAAGACCGCGGCGCCTTCGGGCGCCTCGCCCGCCCCCCGGGGCTTCAAGAAGGGGGACCAGGCAAGGATCGTGATGCGGAAAAAGGAGTTTAACGGGAAGACGGGCACGGTGGAGAACACGTGGTCCAACAGGGTGGAAGTGTGGATGCCCGGGGCCGACAATGGGAGCGGCGAGTTCCGCGCTTTCCAGGAAGTGAACGTGGAGCACATCCAGAGTGACGCGCGCGAAGGCCCCCCCTTGTGCCCGCCGGCGGGTCAGCGCAGCCCGGCCGCGGCTAGCTCGGCCGAGTCCAAGCCCGAGCCGCCCGAGAAACGCCAGAAAGTTACGCTGTCCCAACTGTTCAAGCCACGTTCGGAACGCTAGGCGCTAGGGAGGACAGCAGCCAACCGCAGGAGGTGCGCGAAAACAGCACTCGCCGCATATCGTCCTGGCGCTCGTGCTTGTAATTCATCGCCGCCGTCTGTTTCTGCGCCCTTGCGTCCTTCCTAGACCCGCGAGGTACCCTTGCGTCCTTCCCAGACCCACGAGGTACCCTTGCGTCCTTCCCAGACCCACGAGGTACCCTTGCGTCCTTCCTAGACCCACGAGGTACCCTTGCGTCCTTCCTAGACCCACGAGGCGAACCGCGCGAGGATGCGGGATTGGTAGGGCGCCCATGGTAACCCTTGGGCGGGATGCCCCCGCCCCTCCAGTCGTCGTCAGCGTTCGCTTCCTCATGGGGCCTCCGCTTCCAGGGCGCCCCAGGAGAGTTCCTTCTTCTCCATCTCCTTACCGTCCTCCTCGCCGCTTCGGCTCAGTCCTCTGGCAGGGCGCGGGCGCGGGGGATCGCCGCGTCGGCGGCGGGCCCGGTGGGCCCGGGTACTCCCGCGTCTTCTGTAGATGAGATTCCTCTCGCTTCGCGGGGTGCGCGTCCGGAGCGCGTGCAGACTGGGCGTTGGGTGGTTTGCCCTGCTCGTTTGCCGTGTTGCCCCGCGGTATCAGCGCTGGGGCGAGCTTGCGAATGTCCAGTCCACGAGGGCAATGAGCATTCTCCGCGTGTCAGCACAAGGGTGTCCTACATGTTCGGCAGGCGCGATTTGCACGGCGACTTCTACCTCGGGGCCACTGCCCTCCTTCCGGAAGCCTACGTATTTTCCATCCGCACACCTGCCAGCACACGCTCCCGTGCCTGCACCTGGAGGTGCGCTGCGCCCAGTGGAGTTCGTGCGATGAACCACGTGCCGCACCTGGTCAAGACCGTCAGCTGGCCGCTCAGTCCAGTCGTTGTGGGGCCCTTTGGGAGATTCATTGGCTTACGCCGCGCCGTCGATCCCTTTGGGTCGACTGTCATGCCTGTCGGGTTCTCCTCAATGTAGTTCTCGCGGCCTTCGGCCAGATCCGCCGCCGCCCCAAATGGGTCGTGGACAGCGGGCATCTCTGGGAAACTTCTCGGGGACTCTTGGGAAGCTTCTCGGGGGCTTCTCCGCGGTGCGTTCGGGGTTTCCCGAAGCTTCTCGGGGGTTCTGCAGACCACCATGCGGGGCCTGTGGGCGTTTCGCGGGGGCCTATGTGCGTTTCGCGGGCTCGGTACTAGAGGGCGCTGAAGGGCACGATTGGGCACTATAGGACACTATCCGACATTAATCAACACTAAATCGATTCGGCGACGACGTCCCAAGTCGCCATGATTGCGGATCTAAATCATGGATGCCTTGATGCACAAGTTCATCGACCTGCGGGTGAGGGACGACAATAAGATGCCGGGGCTCGC